AGCGGGAGTAAACTGCTCCAACAGAAGAAGCTGCTGAAAAATAAGTTAGCAGAGAAAAAGCTAACAAGACTAGGTGAAAGTGCAAGTAATGACTGAGGAAACAACGTGTAACAAGAAGAGAACACAGACCGGGAAGTTCTTTACCCTGCTCCACTCAGCTCGCTGCTTTCTGCAGAGGTGACTGGAGAGCCTTAGGCTCCGCCCAGATGCCTACACAGGCTGGGGCCAGGGCTTGGAGGACTGAAGCCCACTCCACCGGGTTTTTGCCCGACCCTGGGTGGCTCAGGGGCTTAAAGCCTCTCCCTTCAGCTCAGGTTATGGTATCAGGGTCCTGAAGAGAGCCCCACATGAGGCTCTCTGCTCAGCAGGGAGCCTGCTTCCCCCCCACCTCTCTCTGCCTGCCTCTCTGCCTACTTGTGATCTCTGTCAAATAAATAAATAAAACCTTATAAAGAAAAAAAGGAGGCTTAAAAAAAAAAAAAAAGAAAGAAAAATGTGAAAGGACCACCAGAAAACATCTGAACTCAATCACTCCACTGAAACTTGAGTGGTTTTCTAGATGGAGAAGAAAGGGTAATTCAGTAATATAAACACTGTGTAACAATCTTAAAATGAACTGTAAATCATTAGGATTACAATAGAACACATACAGCAATAATTCACTTAATGTAACTAAAGGTTAACTGGCGATATAAGCAAAACTGTAAATTAATTATATTACACTGGCCATAAACAATATTACCCTAAATGTAAGTGATATTACACTACTGGGAGGCATATACATAGTGATTAAGGATTGTGACATTTTAATGCCTAGATTAAAATTCCAATTCAGGCACTTTCCATCTATGATCATCAACAAGTTACTGTAAAAAGGATTTTGTAAGTGGAGATATGTATATACCTATATACACACTATACACTGTGTGTGTGTGTGTGTGTGTGTGTGTGTATATATATATATTTATTCAGCATAGTGCCTAGCATATATGTAGTAAATACTCAGAAAAGATAAGCTGTTATTATTAAAGTATATACAGGTTTGCTTAAAGAAAATATTTCTCAGATGCCTGTTGATTGTCAGTCAGTTAAGTGTCTGCCTTTTGGCCCAGGTCATGATCTCAGGGTCCTGGGATCGAGTCCCACATTGGGCTCCCTGCTCTGCAGAGAGTCTGCCTCTCCTTCTGCCCCTCATCAGGCTCATGCTCTCTCTCACTCTCAAATAAATAAATAAAATCTTAAAAAAATAAATTTAAAAAAAGGAAATATTTCTCTGTCTAAAATCACTAAAATTACAAGTTTCTTAAGTGCTTTTCCTATATAAAACTAGACGCAAGGCAGGATAGTCTAACTGACCCTTGATATAATAAAATATGGGTAAGTGCTCCAGAGATGTACAACATGGTTCTGGTTGGTTCAGTCTTACTTATCCTAGTAGCTTCAGCATTTATCAACCTATTTTCCTTCATTTAGTGTCTCTTTCACCCAAGACAGTGTGAACTTATTGTTTCTACACAGGATTAAAGGTAAGTAAATTCATAAAACAGTCATACATAAACTTTTAAACTTCTTTGTCCGGTCTGACCAGCAAAACCCTCAGATGGTGAATGAAATGATTACTCCATACGCCTTAACGGGAGAAAGGAGAGGTCTGGGCACGAGAAGCCCTAGCAGAGAAAGGCCTTGGGCCAAATTTTGTCTCCACTTTTATTGGGGTCTTAGCAATACATAAGGTATAAGCGCAAAGTGAGGAAGAAAGTGTAACTTTAATGGTCAGGATAATAACATATGGAGCAGCGTGTGATAAGGATGAGGAGTCAAGGAGTTCGTGAAGTACGTGACCACCACAGGTGCTTGTTTTTCTTCAAAACCTAAATATTGACTGCCTTGATGAGGACCTTGAGCAGCAGTTAAGAATTTGGCCATTTTCAGCCAGGAAACTTCGAAGGAGACCCAGTGTTCAGGGACTCCTCCTTTGTTTTTCAATTAGTGTCACCCAGGGAGGCACATACAAGTCAGATTTTGTCTATCCAAGCACTGTGAATTCCCTCACTTCTAAAGAAAAGGTAATAATTTGGGGCGCCTGAGTGGCTCAGTGGTTTAAAGAAAAGGTAATAATTTATAGAACTACAGTATTTCCAAGTAATAGAATCACTCTGTATTTTGGTTGTTGAGAGTTACCAAAATGTCTATAGGATCTGTGGGTTTAATTCGGCAAGGAGTCACTACACCTGAACTTCACAGCTACTCTGAGAATACCGTGCATATTCTACATGTTTAAGTAAAGTCATCACAGTTTTCTCCTGATCTGAAAGAGCAGATATTACATTAGCGTGTAGCCATTATTCAAATATTGTTCAGGTAAAATATTACACTATACCATATGAAATTGAAGAAAATCACAATTTCATATGGCTCAGCCTAAATATATTTTTTCAAAACACACTTTTAAAAATCTCTTTGGGGGAAAATAGCTTTGTATTCATTTTACTGAAACTATTATTTTTGTTTTCTAAAAATCACTTTTGGTGGGAGAGGGAAATAAGGAGTTATTGTTCAAGAGATATAGAGTTTCAGTAAGGCAAGATGGAAGAATTCTAGAGATCTGCTGTACAACAATATGCATATAGTTAAGACTACTAAATTGTACGCATGAAAATCTGAGAATAGATTTCATATCATTTTTATACAAGAATTATAATAATAAAAAAGACAAGCTTAAAAAGAGAGCTCCCAATTTCTAGGCCATGCTTCTCTTGGCTGGTTAAAATAAACATAATCATTTAATTAATTTATTTATTTATGAGAGAGAGAGAGCGCGTGCGCACGCACAAATGGGAAAGCAGAGGGAGAGGGACAACCAGACTCTATGCTGAATGCAGAGCCCCATGTGGGGCTTGATCCCAGGACCCTGAGATCATGACCTGAGCTAAAATCAAGAGTTGGACACAACTGACTGAGTCACCCAGGTGCCACTAAAATAAACATAATTATTATGTTTATTTTTATTCATTTATTTTCATTATTTTTATTTATTTATTTTTTATTTATGTTATTATTAAGAGCTTTTTGAAAATCTCTTTTTTATGGCATTTGATTACATCAGAGAATGTTTCATATGGTTTTGACCCTGGCTTAAATTTCCAACTTTATATTCTTCATGATGATTTCCACATAGTACTGGGTGCTCAATGTCAATTTATTATAAAAATTAATATTAGTAAAAGCTATCAATTTTCAGGAGTTTTCTTACTGAACAAATATATCTAACATAAAAACATGAAATTGGGGGTAGAGCATGGTTAAACCCATACTAAGTAATTTTTCCGCCACCTCTCATCCTTGTACTCAGTTACACTAATAGATACTTTCCAAGCACATCCACTGAATTCTTTAAATTCATTCCTTCATCAGATATTTACTGAACACTTATTGAAGTTCCAGGCACTCTGTTGAAGCCTGGAGACAAACTACAAAACAATATGATTTTTGACTGAAGGAAGAAGCATGAAGTATTAAGGAAACACCTTTCTAGGAAAGTGGGTAGAGGACACAAAGGAACCTTTAAAAGCAAGCAACACTAGAGGGAATACTTAAAGGATGAGTGGAAGCATAACAATTTTGTTTAATAAGAATGAAAAATATTTTCAAAAAAACTCCACTGAAATACAAAAATTAGCAGAATCTTGTAAACCAGCTCCCCAAACAAACTTCAAATCCCAAAACTGTAGTTTGTATTGAACTTGACTATATAAGCCAAATAGTTCAAGTACAGAGATAAAAATTCCAACTTCAGATATTTATTTTACACATTGGAAAGACCACTCATCATTTATATCCAGAAGGTTCTCTTTGCTTTCACCAAGAGTAATGTATCTTATCAACTTACACTGTAAATGTAGAATTAAGTTTATAACTGTTTGGTGCCAAATTAAACTACAATATGACAATATACAGATTTAAATGTAGAACTTAAACACAAGCCCCTTGGGAGGTCAGTGAGGAGTTCATGAAGAAAGTCATACACTGACCTTCAAAAAAGTTGAAGTTTGCCCACTCAATCTCTCCTTCCAATAAATTTTTTGTATTAACTTCATGGCCACCAAAAACCAGATCAAGTTCAATCTTCACTGACACAAAACTAAACTTTTTTAAAAATGATTTTTACATATATCTCCATATGTAACAGCCAGTCTTTAGAGGAAGGGACCACCTCATTCTCTCAGGAGTGAGTATGGAGAAAGCTTCAGGACTTCAAATACCTAACTGGACACAGCTGGACACATTTAAAAAATTTCTTAATACATTCTGCTAACATTACTTCCGTTATGTGAGAGTCTGCGTACAGGACAAGAAAACTTAAATTGTTAAAGAGAAAGCCAAATGGAGCGACCTCTTGACCTGCTGAGTGAAACTACTTCAATAAAAACACACAATCTATTAAAAAGCACTAACACTAGTGGCTAGCTTCAAGTTAACATTTTCACTGCTAGTGTTGAAATTTCCCCCCAGAATTAAGATAAAGCTTAAATCCAGACAAAATCAATTTTTAATACTGGAAATTGTCATTTACCCCCGAATATAAAGTTTTGCCTATTTTTTTCTGGAAAAAGAAATGTAACTTTTTTCTTCTTTTCGAGGAAGCAAAGTTATTCTAAAGAAATAACTGGTGGGAGGCGCCTGGGTGGCTCAGTGGGTTAAAGGCTCTGCCTTCGGCTCTGGTTATGGTTCCAGGGTCCTGGGATGGAGCCCCACATCGGGCTCTCTGCTCAGCAGGGAGCCTGCTTCCTCCTCTCTCTCTCTGTCTGCCTCTCTGCCTACTTGTGATCTCTGTCAAATAAATAAATAAAATCTTAAAAAAAATTAAAAAAAAAAAAAGAAATAACTGGTGAGTTTGCAGGATCTTTGGAGCGCCTTTTAACTATATGCCTTATTGATATAGTTAAATATTTAAACAGCTATTTCCTTCCTCTAAAAGATCCAAAGAGGCAAGATCGTACTTAGCTGCTGGAGTTCAAGCCCATAATCAAAAATCCTCGGGAGTATCAGCCTTGGTGGTGGGCTCTGAAGCCTCCAGTCTGGGTTCCGCCACCAGCCGCAGAAATCTACTTATTTTCCACCCACTCTTTGGCTAGCGGGTTCTCCCAGTCCAGAAGTGCCAAGTATCAGAGATCCTGGGAGCATTTAAAATATGTATCAGATGCCCTACCTACTTTTACATCTTCGGGATTTTCTTTAAAAACACACACACAAACACCGGGCTCCAACACAGGAACACTCAAGCCAGCGAGCTTGCCAACTGGCTAGCCAGTGGCTCAACCCGCTGTTACCCAGGTTCTCATAGCTCGGTCCAGACCTTGACAAATAGCCAATGGCGTGTAAGGACTCTAGGAAGCGCGATGGCGTAAGCGTGGACGTCCACGTGATGACGCAGACGGCGTTACCGTCTCCAAGGAGCGGTCCGGGGCACCGGTTTCAAAGTCGCAGGGCGGGCCGAGTGGACTTCCGCTGCTGGCCTCGGGTTTCCCCGTTGTCCTGGAGTCAACCCCGCACCCCAAACGCTCCTCCAAGGACGCCGCCACCCGGCTACTTGGCGGCCCCTTCGGCTGTCTCCTAAGGGGCCCGACACGACCCCGAGTGACCTGCGGGACGCCTGTAGCCATCCGCGTCTCCGTTTTACCCGGCCGGGCTTCGGGTGCGGTGGAACAAAATTCTCTTGGCGGGTCCCGAGCTGAAATCTGAAGTCTGTTGCCTGAGCGAAGGGCTGGGCTGGGACTCGGGAGAAGAAGGCGCGGCGGGGAAGCCGCGTGAGTAGGATGCTGATTACACCGCCCGAGTGCTTGACAACCTCTGGAGCGTTGCTTTAGTTTTGTTTTCCCGAACAGCGAGTTCTGGGGTTTTGCTTTTTTGGTGATGGTGATGCTGTTGGGGTTTTGTTTATTTTTGTCTTGAAGAAAGTGAAGGTGGTGAAATATCCAAACTAAATTCTATCGAAATGGCTACAGAAATCGACTTTCTGAGAGATCAAAGTAAGCTCCGTATTCCTTTATTGAGAATTCTTCTATGTAGGGTTTAATGTCGTCGTTGCTGACCAGCAAATATTTTTCTAATGCTTGCTTGGTGCATGGAAATTTGTAAAAACTTAAGTTAGCTTTACAAAAAACTTGGTAGTATGTGTGAGGATGTGTATATACTTAAGCAGAACCGTTTGGTAAATCCTTGGAGGATTCCTTAAGCTTACATGGGACTCTCCTAGACACTAAACATGGTTGTTTTGCTCCTCGCATGCTCTGGAGATATTAGAGGGCTAATGGCCAGGAATAGTTTCCAAGTCTGCCATTAGAACCTGGAGGCACAGTTCTGGCCATTTGTAAAGAGATGTTTATTGAACTCCTCCTGTTTTTAGTTATGTGCCAGGCTTTATACAGGCAGAGCAGTTTCAAAGACGAGGAGGGCAGTTCTACCCTCCAGGAATTTAATTTGGGGAAGGAAATACGTAAATTCCATACACTGAAGTGGCAGCAAGTGCTAACGCTTTTGCCTCCGTTTCCACATAGGTGTTGGAATGATTAAATGAGTATTAAAATCTGTAAAAGATTTGTAATACCTGACAGTAAACAAATGTGTTCAACAAGTATTAACTATTACAGGATTATTATTAACTGTGGTCAAGGAAGGTGCCATTTGGCCTGAAACTTGAAGTCATAATATGAATTTACTAGATAAAGAACTGTGTAGATATCCCAAATAGAATAGTATATTCAGCGTTGAGGGGATTAGGAATATGTTTGTTTAAGACTTGCGAGAACGTTGACTTATATGGAATGTGGTTTATATAGGCAAATACCAGGTGGAGCTGAAAGGGATGAATGGGGCTGGATAGTGAAGGGCCTTGTCTGCTGTATGTGGAGTTTGGACCATTGTACAGGTTATCCGAACCACTGAAAGGAATTCACTTGAGAGTAGCGTGATCAAATTGTGATTTGGAAAGCCTGGTATGGCTGTTAAGAGTAATATGCATTGTAGCAGAGTGCAGTTAGGTGATTTGGCATACTGGTAAGAAGTGAACTAAGGTAGTACCGTGAGATTGGAGATTAGGGAATTTGAGAGAATAAGGTAGAGGGCAACTGAGGTTTTTGCTTTAAACAGCAGGGAAGGTGGGAAAAAAGTGCTAAGTGCCATTTTGGAAGCTTTAGAAACCAGTGGTTAAGAACTCAGCTTCTCAATTCAGTCTGTCGAGGTTCGTATCCTGGCTTTATCTCTTTTCAGGTCTTTGACCTTCCACAAGTTACTTAGCTCCTCTGTGCCTCAGTTTTCTTGTTTGTAAAATGGAAAGAATAGCACAATAACCCTCATGGGGTTGTAAGGATTAAATGAGATGATATAAATAAAGCATGGTTTCTAGTACATATTAAGTACACTATATATATGTTATCTAAAATTATTGATGCACTATAATGATACTATAACATTAGCATTATTTCTCAAGTTTGAAGTGGGAATATCTGCCACCTTGTAAGGAAGACTGGCTGGCCACCATCTTGCGTGGTGGGAGAGAACAGTTTGGTGATGAGTTTGGCTGGGGTGGGGAGGGTACCTGAGTCACTCAAACTGAGTTTTGGAGGAATGAGCCAGCCATTTTTTCCTTTTAACTGAACCCAGTGTGCCAGTTACAGTTGAGTGGGTTACCCTAGTAGGCAAAACACCTTGACACCAGCTGTGGTAAATATAGATGGCTTGACGTTCTCCCACCTATTTTAACCTTCTCTATACTGACTTCTTGATCTTGATTGCCTCTTTTCATTTGTTCCATTTGGATTTGGTGTTTCTCAACTGGCAACCCCTGTGATAAAGCATTAGCTTTACAAGTAACTACAGGCAATTCCAAACCTGACCATGCTTCTAGTAAACTCCTAACACATTTTCAGGACACCGTTCTCCCACCTCCCTCTGAGAAGGGAAATCTGATAGTCCTTAGAGAACTGTTCAAAGAAATACTTACTTATCAAGCTAAGGAATGAAAAAGTCATTCTTGTAGTGGGGATTTGGGAAGTGTAGATGAACTTATTTTTTCTTTTCATTCTCCGTGAAGTGTTCTTCACAGAGCAAAAGTTTTTAATTTTTTTAAAAGATTGTATTTATTTATTTGACAGAGACAGCATGAGAGGGGAGGGAAGAAGGTCAGAAGGAGAAGCAGACTCCTTGCTGAGCAGGGAGCCCAATGCGGGACTCGATCCCAGGAGTACAGGATCATGACCTGAGCTGAAGGCAGTTGCTTAACCAACTGAGCCACCCAGGTGCCCAAAAGTTTTTAATTTTGATGAGGTTCTCAATTTGTTCTTTTATGGATGTCATATCTAAGAAATCTTTGCTTAATCAACGGCTGCAAAGATTTTCTATATTTTATTCTAGAAATATCATAATTTGGGGTTTTACATTTAGATTTATGATCCACTTAGATTGTGTATAAGGTGCAAGATAAGGGTCAAAGCTCACTTTTTTGCATATAAATGCAATTGAAAAGATTATCCTTTCTCTCATCGATTACCATTGCACCTTTGCAAAAATCGTTTGTCCTTGGGACCCTTGGGTGGCTCAGTCCATTAAGTGTCTGGCTTCAGCTCAGGTCATGATCTCAGAGTGTTGGGATTAAGCCCCTCATCAGGCTCCCCACTTAGCAGGGAGCCTACCCCTGCTTGTGCTTGCATCCTCGCTCGCGCTCTCTCTCTCTCTGTGTCAAATAAATAAATAAATAAAATATTTAAATAAGATCATTTGGCCTTATTTGTGTTCATCCATTCCTGGACTCTGTTCTGTTCCATTGATTTGTTTATCTGTTTGAGCACCAGTATTCCAGTATTTTGATTATTGCAGCTTTGTAGTAAGTCATAGAATCAGATGATGTTAGCCTTTCAAATGTGTCCTTTTTCAGTTATTTTGACTGTCCTATGTGCTTTACACTTCCATATGAATTTTAGAATCAGCTTGTCAATTTCTTCAATTAGATGTTGAGATTTTGAGAGGCATTGCTTTGAATCTGTTGATCAATATGTATAGAATTAATATCAAATGATATTGAGTCCTCTTATCAATGAAAAGGTATATTCTCTCCATTGATGTATCTATTCTTTTATTTCTCTCAGCAGTATTTTGTAGTTTTTCATATATAGGTTTTGCACATCTTTTATCAGATTGATCCCTATGTATTCTGTTTTTTTGATACTGTTGTAAATAGTATTATTCTTTTACTTTGGCATCTGATTTATCATTAATATATAGAACTATATATGTTATATATATGTTATCTAATATATAGAACTATATCTCTTTTTTTGGTATATTATACCCGGCAAGCTTTTTAAACTCACTTATTCTAATAGGTTGTTTTTAGAGTTCATTAAATTTTCTGCATAGACAATCTTTTAATCTCTTAACAGTTTTAGTTCCTCCTTTACAATTTAGATGTCTTTCATTTCATTTTTTGGTTTATTGTACTGGCTAGAACTTCCAGTACAGTGTTGAACATGAGTGGTTGGAGTGGACATCCTTGTCTTTTTCCTAATCTTAGGGTACAAACCTCTATCTTTCAAAATTAAGTATGATACTAACTGTAGACTTTTTGTAGATGTTTTTAAAAGGTTGAGAATATTCCTTTCTATGCCTAGTTTTCCGAGAGTTTATCAGAATAGATGTTGATTTTTTTTTCAAATGCTTTTTTTGCATTTATTGAGAGGATCAGATTTTTTTTTCCATTTTTAGTTTGTTAATAGGGTGTCTTAAATTGATTAATTTTCATATTTTAAGCCTGCCTTACCTCTCTTTTTGGGGTAAGCTTCTCTTATTCATGTATTATCCTTTTTATATATTGTTAGATTTGATTTTTTAAAAGTTTATTTAAAATTTTCATTTTCTCTGTTCATAAGTCCTTTGTTCCCCTTCTAATCTCTTTGCCTGGTTTTGGCATTGGGCAATGCTCCCCTTGTAGATTTTGTTGAAAAATATTTTGTTTTCTTCAATTTTCTGGGAAAGTTTATGTAGAATTGACATTATTTCTTTCTTAAATGTTTGGTAGAATTTACCAGTAAAGTCAATTGGACTTGGAGTTTTCTTTGTGGGAATATTTTAAACTAGAAATTTAATTTCTTTAATAGATAAAGAGCTAGTCAATAGTCCGTTGTGTACTGTTG